CCCCCCCCCCCCAATGCCGTGGAGATTAATGAGTTGCTACTGACTGGCCTTACCTTAATCTACTTCGACTCTGACCCGACTGGTTCTCTCTCTCTCTCTTATCAGATCGAAACCCTGACGCATCCATCTAACCACCACCGAAATGTCTACCATCAAGGAAATCAACAGTATCCCCGAGTGGGAGCAGCTGCTCAGTTCTGTCCCTTCCACTACCCTCGTCATAGCATCATTCCATGCGCCGTGGGCCGCACCATGCGCGCAAATGGCCACCGTCCTGTCGACCCTCGCTTCTGAATATCCAGTCACCGAACCTCCTACCACAAAGTGGGTTTCCATTAACGCAGAGGATCTGAGCGACCTCAGCGAGACGTACGATGTCACTGCAGTCCCTTTTCTTGTCCTTTTGAGGAACGGCCAAGTTGTCGAGACTGTGAGTGGCAGTAGCGCCGTAAAGGTGCGCACGGCGATCGAGACACAGGCAAAGCAATCTGGTCAGAATTCAGAGGAAAGCGCACAGAACGGTATCGATACCAACGATGCCGAAGCCGAGGAGCAAGATCCCGAGAAGAAGAAGGAGGAGCTTTTCAAGCGTCTTGGGGACCTCGTAAAGGCTGCACCCGTCATGCTCTTTATGAAAGGTACACCTAGCTCTCCTCAATGCGGCTTCTCCAGACAATTGGTTGGGCTACTGCGCGACAACTCGGTCAAGTATGGTTTCTTCAACATCCTCGCCGACGACGAAGTTAGACAAGGACTCAAGGAATTTGCGGATTGGCCAACATACCCGCAGCTCTGGATCGATGGTGAGCTCGTTGGTGGACTGGATATTGTAAGCCGCATTCGCATTTTCGCTTTGACTAAGGCTGACAAATCCATAGGTCAAGGAGGAAATGGCCAACGACGCCGAGTTCCTTACCAAGTACAGCGTCAGCGCTCCCGCAGCTGTATGAGGCGGAATACATACGTTACGAAACCCATGACGCATTTATGTTAAGAAGGCGTGATAATAGCCCGTCGCGTACTGCTGAATATTGCACTGCCTGCCTGGCCCTGGTAAAACCCAAACGTTTGAGTGACAGTATTCGGCAATGCAATATGACCAGTAAGCATTCTGGCTAGTGGTTTATCGGTGGCAAATTGAAGAGAGGAAACGAGGCCAAGAAGTACTGGAGTCCCAGGATGTTGAAAGCTAAGGCGCAGGGACGTTATCCAAGAATACTGTGGCCATATAAACCGCGCTGACGAGCTCCTGTCAAACCTATCATGCAAATGACTAATGGCTCACTGAATGGTCAGGCTGCATCATGTGTTGGGCTCCCGAATTCTTCTAATCGGTTTTACCAGCTTCTGCTGGGAGCTGGACGGGAAGTGGTTCGCAATATCTACGGGAATAGTAAAGCATGGGGAGAAATGTAAACATCACTATTTCTAGGCGATCATAGCTGCAGCTACATTGTAAATTTGCCAAAGACGATGGATTTACTGCTGGTTATCAACGTTGGTTTTGCATAACGTGCCACAATGATCAGATCGACATAGTGTCTGTCCAGAATAGTAGTGTACCTTAAGTCAGGGAACTGGCTATAGAAGGCCTCAGATACAGAATGAAAAGTGTGGTGTGATGGAGTTTAATGACAAATATCGGTGATAAACATGGGCCGGCTCCGAAATCCGAGCGTCCATACAGCAGATGTCGAATCCGATGAACGAGAATGACTCACAGGCTAGGCAAGTAAGATTTGTGACTTTGACTCTTTTTAGCAGATTGTGGTTCGTTCGATTGAGATAGTTGCCGCACCGCCCGTTGAGTTATGAGTTACTGCACCTGGCTGACTTCAGCCATCACGTTGAAGAAGCTAATGAAAAAAGAGGTCCAGGTAAACTATGCCAGTTGCAGACTTCTAGGCACAGGAAAGACACGTGCAAAGACAGCAGAGGTATCACAAAGGCTCTCTTAAATGGAAGAACGGAAACAACCAAGAAATAAATACCCTTGTCTCTGTGAGTGTAAAACAACCCCACCATCTTGCATCTTGCATCGATGCTGGGATGCACACGCGTTCTTCGACTTGACTGCGGTGCCTAACTAAGATAGCTCGTTTGTTCCTCATTCCCAGGCTGCCGGGCGGTTTAATAAGGCTGATGCTGACGGGACATTCTGGAGACCAAAAATTGGATTCAGATCTAGCCCTTTTCCCTTCCACCCTTTTCAGAGATCTTCTCGTTTCTCTCCTTATTTGAAGCAAGGCACCGGAGGTACCGACACCTCCCTGACCAGCTTCTATCATCCCATTGATCCTCTGTTTGGATATCCTGCGTCATCTGCTCTCACAGCCTCTGTTCCCCTTCTGACTGAGCTTACTGAGGAATTATCGACTCGACAGAAAAACATCCCGCTTTCCTCCATCCATTTGTTTCTGTCTGGACTTGGAATCCATCTGTGACGCTTTATAGGTAGCTTGAGCTCTGGCGTCTGTCTTCTTTTGGGCCGTCTCCTCGCTATCTTCGCCCCCCGTTCCCGTCTTCTTCCTCCCTGACGGGTTCGTGACCTCGCTATCGCTACAATCTCGGTCATCGACTATAGCGAGTGCCCTGCAAAATCCCATTGCCTAGAATTGAATTCCCCGTCACACATTCCCAACAGACCGCAACTTTGGGTGCCCCTGGCCCCCGATATCTCCACGGATTATCACCATCCACCCTTTCACCTTCACCGTATTACACTGTGCGGTGCCCCAAGTGGGAGGCTGTGCTGTACCGTGCTAACTCGCTGTTGCTGCAAGCCTAAGGACGTACGGACGTGTCGGACTTGATCAACGCCACCTCTGGGTTCCTGGAGACTGTTTGGGGCGAAACGGTTCCATTATCCTGCGCAACTGTGTTGCGACATCGACATTGGCTTACCAGGCGGGTTGACTCGTGGAGCCGCATTTCCCGGTTGGTCAGACAAGTCTTCTGTTGACCAGGTTGCCGTAGCTGCGGCAGTATTCTGGAAGGGCGCTGTATTATTCATATCAAGCTCCTTTGGGTTCCGCCAACCGCTCAAGACTCAATATATTGATGGGGTTTCCCCTGGCGCTGACCAACTCTTGTCTCATCATTGTCTGCCAATATTGGAGTCGGATCCCTCATCTCATCTGTTGAAACGCCCTGGTCGTTTCGTTCCCCTTTTCACAATGACCCCAACTCCTCCTTCGACAAACTCATCTCAGGGAGCCCGGTCTCCCGAGGAACAGTTCCGCGTTGTGAGGAAGAGGAATCGTGTGCCTCTAAGCTGCTACCCTTGTAGGACACGCAAGTATGTTACCCCTAGAGCAATGCATCAATATTTACTAACATCGTCTGTAGGTTGTGAGTTTAAATAACACCTCAGCTCCTCATCCTTACTAATACCCGTCAGAAAATGTGACAGAAGTCATCCTTGCAGCAACTGTACAAAGCGCGAGGGTATGGGGACCACCTCATGCTCTTATGCCACGCCGGTTACACGCAAGAAGAATCAAAGTCAAGGAGACTCGAGTCCTGATGACATGCAGAATCGTATTGACCGTTTAGAAGGCTTAGTTTTATCCCTTATGCACGGAGGTGCTAATGTAGATGCTGCATCCGCCGCAGCCGCTGGAGCAGCGACAACACAATCCACCACGGACAGCGGATCTTCCGCCAAGGCCGGAAAAGGAGACGACAATGCAATGGCATATGATGAGGAGGAAAACAGTGACGAAGAGGAGGGACTGGCCACGTCTTTGGGTTTTCTTAAAGTGGACACGGACAAAGGCAAGTCGCTGTATGTTGGCCAGGAACATTGGCATACCCTCCTTGCCGATATATCTGAGGTGAAAAACTACTTCACGTCTCACAAAAAGGAGTTGGAAACAAGTTATGAGCGAGTCAAATCTTCGAAGCCCATGGCTGCAAGAGAGGGGCCGACACTCCTGCTAGGAGCACTCCCAGCATCCGAGATTGAAATAAGAGCAGAGCTTCCCCCCAAGTCTGCTGTTCTGACGCTCTGCAGTCGATACTTCAACTCCATGGATAATGCTGTCAACATCATTCATGGACCAACATTTCAACAGCAGCTGAAAGACCACTGGCAAGATCCCAACAAGACGCCCATTATGTGGCTTGGTATGCTCTACTCGGTTCTCTGCCTCGCAATGCTGAGTTACCATAAAGTGGGCGACGAACCTCCTGAGTGGAGAGGGCGAACCCTTGAGCTTGCAAACGAATACCGGTTACGCACGGTGCAATGCCTGATCAAATCAGACTATACAAAACCTAATGAGTACACGGTTGAGACTATGATACTCTATGTATTCGGAGAATATTCGTCTCGATGGGATGCTGATCTAGGATTGTGGTTAATCGTGTCTCTAATTGTTCGAATCGCGTACCGAATGGGTTACCATCGAGACGCTAAATGGTTTCCGTCAATTACACCATTTCAAGCGGTAAGCTGCACGCTGGTCTGCTGCTAACCTCGATTTGCTGAACATAATTAGGAAATGAGGCGGCGGACGTGGGCTCTCGTACGAATGTCGGATGTTATCTTCTCACATCAGGTTTCTCTGCCCAGCATGATTTACGAAAATGATTGCGACACCCAACTGCCCAATAACATATTTGACGATGAGTTCAATCCCAGCGTCAAGGAGCTGCCGCCTTCTCGACCATCGACTGTCGCTACTCCCATCGCCTACATGATTGCCAAGTCAAGGTTATGTTTCGAGTTGGGAAACATCCTCCAGGCTACAGGGCAAGTTGGCAAGCATGTGCCTTACGATGAGATTATTCGCTTTGATGCCAAACTACGACAGATCATGCAAGAATTGCCGCCGCATTTGAAGTTAACGACATTAGAAGGATCTCATGATCCAGTGACTCTGATCATTGCCAGGTTCAATGTCGATATTCTGTACCAGAAGATTCTATGCTTACTTCACCGAAAATACCTTCCCAGGGCGAGGCAGAGTGCAAGATATGCACACTCTCGGAGGGCTGCAATTGAAGCATCATTGACCGCGCTCGATCATCTGGCAGTATTGTACCGGGAATCACAATCCAACGGAAGGCTGCGCTCAGTCAGCTGGTTTGTGAAGTCGATTGCTACCAAAGACTTTACGTTGCCTGCAATGCTGGTCATTCTTGATCTCCATTTTGACAACATTGCCGCGCAGTCTTCAGTTCCCCAAGACGATGAGGGTGCTTCAACTTGGAACGATGACCAACGATCTAAAATGATTGGCAGTCTAGAAACAGCGAGAGAAATCTGGAACACACTTGCAGATACCTCAATGGAAGCATTCAAGGCGGCCAAGGTCATTGATATCATGCTAGATAAGATCAAGGACCCTGCCTCGATCGGTTCAGAAATGCCTGGCATTCCATCGCCAATGCCAGGCCTGACGCAAGGTGTTGGGACTGATGTTTCACCGGCTATGGCGCCGGGTTTCGTCTCACCGAGCAGCTTACCGGATTTCAATGCGACGGCCAACCCCTTTTCGACGCCTAACCCGGCCGCCTTTATGGGTATGGACTTTGGCATGCCTGGGCCTGAAGGACTTGATTTTCAAACCGATGGCTTCGCTGGGGCTGGTCCGGCTTCTCCTTTCTCCTCCATGTTCAGCAACCTGGGAGCCAACACTAACGCGGGGATGGATATGGGCGCGAACTTTGACTGGGTAAGAGGCGTTTCCATTGAGAAATCACTTGTAACCGTTTCTAACTTGGAGTAGAATGCCTTTGAAAACTATACGCAGATGGCCAACTGGGGAGCAGACCAGAGTTTTCAGATATACGGCGCTGGAGGAGACCAGTCATCCCCGGGACAGACCTCTTCGTTGGGTGGTCGTAGTGGAAGCACGTCACAAGCGCCAGGACAAGGAGGTGGCAGAGATGCCAATATGCAATGACGCTGCAACAATATCAGATATAATAGTTGATGTTATGATGGGCAACAAATGAAATGTAAAATCAAGCAACTCTACTTATTCAAATACCCCGGTGATGGGGCCCCAAATTGGATTCTTCAAGTCTCACAAATACCAGTTGTTGGACGTTTAATCACCAACTACTTCCATGCTTATGTCATCATAAAAAAATGGGCCGCCCCGACCGACACTGTTATCGATAAGTTCAGAATTGGAACTTTGGGTTCCTGCTCCCTTCTCGACCTTACCTACCTACTAAAAGTACCTTAAGGTAATAATCTACCAAGGTATCGCTCCCCAATTCAAGACAACCCCGTGAATTTACTTCACGCCGCATTACGAGTAACGTTTGGTTTGCACAGAAACACAGACGAAGCTTGAGCGCCCGATCCTAATTGCTTACACCTACATTGCAACGCGATTTCTTTCCCCATTGCTCCTTACCATTCACGCAGACAAGTGTTGACCATCCTATTCACTCTACAGGCTTGATGACCCATCAAGCTAGTTGTTTCTTTCTGTGCCTCCCGTTCTGACTCATCGCTGCTATTCAGTAGCGCGTCAGATGAGGGATGGTTATCCCAGAGAATCAAGGGGCCGGCGCCTCTGGTTCAGCCGTCACCCCGGGAGCATCAACAGTCAGTGGTAGAAGCGAGGCCGACGTGCAAATGGCTGATGATCTGGATTATGAACCCTCAGAAGCCTCTAGCCATGACCCTGCAGCGGCCCTGCTCGATGCCATCTCCCAGCCCTCGAAAAAAAGGCGCCAGTCAATGGATTGCAAGGCTGTTCAGCAAACTAAGAAAGTTAAGCTGGATAAAGCCCATCTTCCTGGCCCGGCGGCTCAGAGTCTCGTGAAAGATCGAGCCAGGCAGCTTCCGGAACAGATATGGCAACATATCTTCACTCTTGTACCACCCAGTGACCTGGGTCGTTTGTTGGCTGTCAACAAACTATTCCATGCCTTTCTTAGCCCCCTTTCCACTCATCCCCAAGCATGTTATAATGATGTACCGTCATCCTTTCCTTTACTGAAGCCAGATACAATCTGGCAAGCTTCAAGAAGACTGTTTTGGCCGCGTATGCCTGCACCCCTAAAAGGGAAATCGGAGATTCAGATGTGGCGTCTTGTTTGTTCTGTGTCTTGCCAACTCTGTGATTTGCGGAGCCAGAAAAAGCTACCATCTTCGAACAACGAAGCTTGGTGTCGTGGTCCAGGTCCAAGTGACGTCTGTCCCATTTTCCCCTTTTGTGTCTTCGCTTGCGGAAATTGCCTGAAGAAAAAGGGCATCAAGGTAGGTGTTGCCAGGATTCTCCCCGGATGCAATTCTAACGTCAGCAATAGGAACTAGAACTTCTCCTGTCTTCTTCATTTCCATCTGTTCTGCTCCCAGCTCTTCCTCCAGTATTTGTGGATGCCGATATGCATGTCATACATCCCCGTGCCATACAAGCGGGGACTGTGCCGCCACACATCCAGGTTACGAAACTCTTCTGGTCGGAGCATGTTGAACAAATCAAGTTGGAATTCGAAAATGTCAAGGCACTTGGATCTGCTGCTGCCGAAGAGTGGATAAAAGGTCTAGAGATCCGAGGAAAGCAGGCTCTAGCTGATGCCTCTCGTTGGGAAAAATGGGCTAGTACAGGTGGGATGGCTCAGTTTCAAGCACCAAAGACCGCTGCCAAAGCAGAAGCTCCATTATCATTTACGCCTCTAGCTCTTTCAGCACCCATCGGTAAGGCTTCATCAAATCCCGCTCAATCAATAGGCGAGCATTATCGCCAAGCACCTATTGCCGGTGACGGCCGTGGATCAATAGTGCCATCGGAGGCTAATCTCCGTCCCTTGCGCACTTCAGTTCAGCAAAAACGGACGAAGGAGGAGGCAGCTCACCTTAAGGCTCAAAGGCGGACCGACATTGAGAATCGAGCCATGCTACTTGATCCTCCGTTGACTGCAAATGTTCTGGCTCATATTCCATCCTTTCAGGCAGCACTTCAAATCATCACGCCGCTTGATGATCACGCATGGGAACTCTTAAAGCCCCGTCTTCTCGCTCAGAGGGTAGAAGCGGAGCTGCGAGAGAAGCAAAGTTATAGCAACCCCAAAAAGCTTGAAGACAAGCTTCCAACAACGGAGGCTGATGAAAAGCCCGCTAGGGAACCAAGAGAAGTTACAGACCAGGAATGGGATGATATTCAGGGGCCTGTTCGAGCGCGCATATCGGAATATGCAGACGAAATCATCGAAGGATGGAACAACGGCGCCAAGGTTAAGAGAAAGAACTGTCCGCAATATGCCGCCGATGTGCTGCTGTACGTTCGTAAGAGGTTCTATGCCGAAGTCACAAAGGACACTGCTGCCACAATCGCGGCAGGGAAGAAGCCGATTGTCGAACCCCCCGAGGGGCCCTGGACTCAACGGTTGACATTGGAGAACATGAAGTGGGTCTTTGATGTCAAAATCAAACCACGCACTGAGCCTATGCGCAAGGAGTTGTTTCTTTGTAACAGCTGTCTCGGTGTGAATGGAGTCTTGAAATTCTTTGGGTTCGAGGGTGTACTTCAACACTATGCAGCCAAGCACACAGTTGCTCTCAGTCTGGGAAACATTGTCGTGCACTGGAGAGCGGAGTGGCCAGAAGTGCCTCCTTTTAGTCCTGACCCTCTCACCAAAGAGAAAGCCTATCATGGCAATGAGCCACGGAGCGCACTCGCGTCAAATGCGCCAATTCAACAAAGCTATTCTGCCTTTCAACCTGATACACCAGCAGGATATCCTCTGCCTGGTTACGGCGCAGAAGCACCGCAATTCTCGTTGTACCATTCCAGGCCTCCAATCCTTCCTATATCTGCATATGGGCAAAGCTCAGCCCATACGTACAGTCCATCTTACTCAACAACAACATATTACGACCCTGCAACATATTCTTCGTACCCAGGACCATTTTCTTCGGGGATGGCACATATCTCTCAAAGACAATCAAACAGCTACACAAGACCTCAAGTTCCTAACCCTTCCGACAATGCATCATATCTCAACTACTACGATAGCAATAGCATCGCCTCAGTCAACAGCACTCGTCAACACCAACACGAAAAATTCGTCAGGGGCACACAATCTGTCTGGTCAAAGGTTGGGCATCATAAGAAGATCCCACCTGCCGTCAGGGCTTACGTCGCCATTTATCATGCTAACAAAGTGTTCGAGGAGTCTGAGAGTGAGAGCCTACCGTTGTCGCTGTTCATTGAAGCTACATCGAAAAACAAGAAATTACGCAGTCTGAGGGCTCTCAATGGAGTTTCTTGCAAGGTGTGCAACGACGGCAACATCTTCCACGTACCTCAACTCGCCAGACATTTCGAAATAGAGCATGTCGAAAAGCCCCGGAGTCAAGGACGAGCACATATGGATTGGCGAACAGAAATGATAAAAATGCCTGAGAACGAGCGAATGGCTGGACTGGAAATCAAGACTCGGGGAGACTCTGTCTTGTACACTCTTGTCAAGGAGGCTCTTCCCTGGGCATTCGAACAAGCCTTCATAGACAAATATGCTTTGAAGCCTGTCCAAACAACACCCAATAACACTCCACCTCCGCAAGTGTCAGTGCAGACGCCAGCTCAGATCTTCACGGCTTTGTCAAACGACCGGTCAAGGGAAGAACGCCAGCAAAGTGATGTCGGGCATGTGATAGAACAAGCACAGCAGTCAGGTTATGCGGATCTGGGAAGTCAGTCTCTGGCATCAAGTCGACTGGATCTGCGCTTTTCCTCACATATCGAGTCTGAGCCAGACATACCACATCTTCGTCCTGCAAGCGAGGTTTATGTTCGAAAGATGGTAGGGGCTAGAAAGAAACAGTCGAAGCCTGGATCCCAAGCCGCCGATAGTGCTTCAACGTTTGGCAACTACTCACCACCGTACTTCGAAAAGCCTCAAGATTCATGTAGCCAAAGCAACAAGGTTGACGCCGGAGTCGAGACTGGGCAGGGAGTCACCACCTATCATGTTTCATATCCCACAGGGCCGCGGAACAAGGCTCATTGGCGCGAAGAAAAATCATCCGATTACCGTGACGTCCGAGAACAGCGTTATTCAGGCCCAGAACCAGCTAGTCCTCGGAACAGAAGCGCCTCGGTTGGCGACCGGCCTCAAGACCATCCCCCCTTAGTGGCCATCTCGACCGCTGCAGCACCTAGCTACGCGGAGGTCGAAAGAGGGGGGCGTGAAGAACCTCATGTGGCCCATAACCCCCATATGGTTGAAGAGGAGGAGGTCGTATACGTTGATGAATCCGGACGGGAGATTGGAAGAGGTCTCAGAGCCCGATATACCCTTCCACAGGAATCCAGATATGGCCCGGTCAACACTGAAAGGTTTGGCGAACATGCCCGACCCTCACCCTCATGGTCTAACAACCATAGTCAATTCTATCATAGAGAACCTATCCCGCGGTCTCAATATGCAACACAAGAGCACCACTTCGATTCTCCAGCTGGTTCCGATCATTTCTATCATACTTGTCACAGTGCTCGCCCTCCACTAGAGCTTTCAGACGCATACGAAGTCGTTGAGACTCATCATCCGGACGGTAACTACTTCATCAGGCGCCCTGCACGGCAGGCTGGTAGGTCATACCATGCCTATGAGACTAGACAGCCACGACCAGAGCAGAGCATGTTCCCTCAACGAGAGATAGCTCAAGGCTCTTCGGGTTACAACTTGAGTTATGAGGCAGATCCGCATATTCAGAGTCGACCTACTCTTATGACTAATTATAACAATAACAACCCACGATATCCGTCTGGCGTAGCAAGGGGGACACCAGCGGACCATGGGAGCCAGCGATGATTTACTCAATGTACTTCGGAGCCGTAGTGGAGGAAATGGCACCAACTAATTAGTGCCGATTCGTGTATACATATCTATATACGCAAGCTGCAACATCATGTGTATAATGTCTTTCTTCATTTAAAGTCAGTCCCTTCCTCAAGCAGTTCAGAGAACGTATTCATCGTTTGACAGATATTAAAAAGTAGTACATTGTGTGTATTCTGCTAGGACGACGAGCCGAGTTTGGTTTGCCTTTTTTTTTACATACATACATCCATACATACAAGCCCTCCTCTTGTATTCCGATCCGTCTTCTCGTCAGAGCCATTATCAGGAACTAAAGCTGAGTCTGGCCGCAATTCCAATGCCAGTTGGTGATGTACAAGATAAGAGGGAAAACGATGATAATGAAAAGAACAAAATTACAACACTCTTTTCTTCTCTCGTTTCTCTCCATTATTCTGCTTCTCATGCTCTGCTCCTCAATGGAGCAGAGCAGTCAAGATTGGTTCATGAGCCCGAGCCCTTGACCAAAAGCGATCGACATTGTTTGGTGTTTCCAAGTTATGTTCCGCCTTTCTCCTTCGAGTCTATCCTTCCATCCGTATATGGCTGTTACTGGTCTTCTTATCTTCATTATTCTCAGGTTGAACGGGACGCTGTCGCATAGTGGCCATTTGCCAGAAACCCATAGATCAAAATCGGTGCTGAATCTACAACACCTCACCAATGATCTTAGCGGCCTCACGGTAGGTTTGAAGCAGGCGCTCGCACTTCTCGCGTTCCTTCTTGACGCCATCATCCTCGTAAAGGAGCTCCTCAAAGAGAGATTCCTTGTAGAGCTCGCTAACGAGGCGGTTCTGAACGACGTCCTTACAGTGGTTAACGAGGAGGTGCATGACAGCTTTAGGGACCTGGTCGGCAATGGACTCGCGAACAATGTTGAAGTAGGAAGAGATAAGAGCTCGGATAAGTTCCGTCTCCATGGCCTCGCGATCTGTCATAGCTGGCTCCGCGGATTCACCCTGGTGGTGGGGGTTAGTTTCGTGTGAGAAGAGGAGACCGGGCACCTGTAGATCCTCGGAACTTACCATTTGGGATGCCAAGCCGTAGTTCTTCCCTGTTCTATCGTACAAGTCATCCTCGGGGGCCATTGTTGTCGCTGTAGAAGGCCGGGCAAACTCCCTCTCCCGGCGCACAATAGGGAAGCTAGTCTCCGAGTTTTGGCTGATATGTCGTCCGTTGGGCATATTGGGCATGGCGCCAGGGCTTGGAAGCGGACCACCGATGGTCTGGCCATCCTTGCCGAAAAAGTAGTTCAAGAAGGAATCTCGGGCACCTCCGAGTCCCTGTTGGTTGAGTCGAGCAGGTGAAGCTGAACGAAGAGTGCCATTTAGATGCGTCGCGTTCATAGTGGCAGCAAGGCTGGAGGTTCCGTTCTCTCGGACCGAAAGAGAAGGCGATATGCTTCGAGGAGGCTTCGTGGCCTTGGCTCTTCCTGACTTGGTCTTTTCAGGCTTATCAGAAGGGCCACTGACACCGTCCTCATTTTCAGGGCCATCACCGTCAGCCTCAAGCTCCTGCAGACGCCGCTTTTCTCGGCGCTCGCGCTCCTCCTGGATCAGCCTTTTCCTTTCTCGCTCCTGCTTTGCACTGACTACGTTACTCATGGCGGCAGCTGCGCCGAGGAAGTTAGGGTGATTAGTATTGATATAGGCGCGCTGGATAGAGATGAGTGATTCGACATATGACGAAGCAGGACCAAGACGCTCACGGAGCAAGTCTGAGACCGTCTCGATGAGCTTGGCCTGAAGTCTGGGGTATCGTGAAAGCTCAGTGGAGCCACAAGTGTGGCAAATCTTGATCAGCTCTTCGTACACAAGTTCAACACAACGTTGACTAGGAATTTCCAGAAGCTTGATTTGGGGTTTGACCAGAAGATCGAAAGCCATTTCCGGCACAAAAAGACTGGGTCGGGGTCCGGTGGAGTTTCGAATAGCGGTCCGGATATCAAGGGCGGAGAGGTTAGATGTAGGGTCGATGGTGTCAAGTGCGCTGCCGAAGACAGAATTGAAAATGTAGTAAATACGAGCACCGCCACATAACTCCTTGGTGGAAATCTCGGTCGAGGTACCGTCAATGGAAGAAATGAAAGAGTTGGCGAAGCGTGTCATTTGCTGAAGGATGAGAGAGCCACGGTGCTCCTTTCCACTGAAATGCATGTCACCATAACTGGCCAACTCCTGTTGCGTCTGCCCCATAAGAGTGTTGAGCCGGGCTTTGATGTCGGGCAATCGCTCACGGATATGACCCATCAGCGTAGTGTTGAGGGTCTTAGCCAGGTAGTGAGTGCCACAGCGAATGGAGATGTTACGATAGGCAGGATGGTGCTTGAAAAAGTCAGCCTCGGCCTGGAGAGCATCCTCCATAGGCTTGTTTCCTTGAATATCCTGCTGCGATCGATTGACCACGCCGATGAAGCCAAGCTTTAAAGGATAGACACGGCCTGAAAGAATATCTAGAGCGTTTGTGCCATGATCCATGAGGTCGACCTTTGTCAAGACACCAATAGTCCTTCGGCCAAGGGGGTCAACATGGCGGGCGAGTTTAAGGGCTTCCGAGTTAACGATGTCGACGTTGGCGGGAGACACGGCGAGGATAATACTGTTAGGCTTGGCAATGTATTCTGAAATGAGGTTTCGAGTCTGCTTCTCGATATCGGTAGGCTGGTCGCCAATGGGGACCTATGGATTGGCTATGGTCAGTGATGTCCAGGGGTTAAACGAAGCTAAGGATTATGGAGATGGAAAGAACAGGAAACTCACCTTGGTCAGTCCCGGCAGATCCACCAGAGTCAAGTTAAGGACATGAGGAGAGTAGATCTTGAGGTTGATAGGTTGCCGGTTGATACCCTTGTTGTTGCCGGCAACTCGGGATGTCTCGTTCTCAATCTCGCGCTTTACATCGCCAAAATCGTTGAACCTCCGGTTGGGGATGTGGTGGAACTCTGCCCACTCGGAACGGCGAGCAGCACCGGGGGATCGATAAGGATCGCTTGCAGGGTCGGGAGCGTTTTCATCTTCGGTAACGTTGATGAGCTGAAGGATCAGGGGACGACGAGTGCAGATGCCGGCTCCGCGCGGTAGAAAATCTCGGCCGACGATATTCTCAAGGACAGAAGATTTGCCTGCAGATTGGGAACCGACAACAACCTAGGCAACGGTCAGTCAGTGCTAGTAGAGTAGCCAATTCAGGTAGCAAAAACCGCATACAATCTGAGGGAGATCCAAAGAGTCACTGCCAATGGTATTGAAAACCAAGTCTTGCAGCTTGTTGACTGTGGTGAGCAGATCCTCGCCAAGAGCAGCCATGATGATAAGAGTCCGATTTTGTGACGAGCGAGTTTGAGATATACTGATGACAGAAACAACAGGACTGGACTGGACTGGACAGTAGAGTCAAGTGAAGCGTCCGTCACGAAACCCAAGACAGACACAAGGACACGGAGGATGTTCCGAATAATGCGCGCGTTGTCGCTAAATTCAAAATCCGTCGTCAGTTCCGGGAGTTCATGCGGTTCGGTCTGGGAGGCTCAGGCTCAGGCTGAGGATGGCTTTGCTTTGCTTTGCTTCGCTTTGCGCAGTGGAGTCGAGAGCACTTTTGGGGTGATTCACGTGTATTTGCATAATGTTCAACCACCCCAGGCCAAGGTAATCAGGTAATGTACCTACCTTAGGTATGGATAAGGTACCTCTAGCACCTATTTTTTTAGGCCTTCCGATGCCTACCTAGCTCTAGGCCGCTTTACTGGCTCCACCGGAGGTTTCTCGGCTGTGAGATGCCTCCCCTAGGACCTAGGTACCATACTGACCGCTTTCACACCCACTACCTACCTTTGGTAGTTTACCTTGATACAGGTTACTCCGGAGTTCCATCGCGTTGCAGAGCCCTTGCCACGTCACCAGCCACACCTGACGGGATGTTCTTATCCACCACTAGGTGCTTTAACGAGGTTCGCCACAACGCCTAACTTTTCTACTGTACTAAAGGAAACATGAAGATGGCAATAGATGCACTAGATATCAGCCAGAAGACCAGTACAGACACAGAATCATGAGTACTTTCGGTAGCCCCGGCCCCTTGCCAACCACAAAGCCAACACCGTGAGTTTGACATCGTCTACTGAGAACAATTCACTAAACAATGGCGTCCTTCTGAGCAGACCACAGCGTGGAAGCTTCCCTCTGGATCATGATGGTGAGTGGCTGTACAAGCCAACACATTCATTCAATGGACCAATTTTGACCAAAGTAACTGCAGGCGAGTGCAAGACTTATATGACAAAGTACCTTTCATGTATGAAAAAGGTGCGAGGTCTCAATGACGAAGAATGTCGCGACCTTGCAAAGGCGTATCTATCGTGCAGAATGGACAGGTGAGCGAGCCTATAATGCTTTGACTTATGACGCATACACGTAGTCAAATATCTCGGAACAAAGCGGGCTAATAGCGACGGGTATTTTAGAAACTTGATGGCCAGGGACGAATTCAAAAACCTTGGTTTCACAGAATCTCCACCTCCTTCAGCTGTAAAAGCGACGCTAGAGGGCGACAAGGGAACCAAGCATTGAAAGAAGAGACTGCCTACCTACCTACCTAGGTATGTAAGTATGGGAATCGGTGATGACAATTTGAGGAGTTGACTCTTGTGCACACTGCCTTAATATAGTCAGTTATTAATGTAACGGCCTTGAGGTATAGAAACTCTAATTCCTGACTAAAGATAGGTGACATTCGAGCAAATGAGAGCAATACACATCAAACCTCCAGTCCCCGCTTCAACTACTGTATCATAAGAACCTAGCAGATGGCGGTGGACGATTATCCACCATAGAAATTTATAGGAACTGCCATATACTGACTCCCTGCACCTTGCAAAGCTTCCAACAACAAATATCAACGAAATCATAAGTTTTCGTATTCCAGTCTCACACTTAGACAGAGGCTTTTGTTGCTGGTGGTGATGCTCTGACGCAACCAAACCAGTAGTCCAACATCGCGTTGCCTGGTCAACCCCAGCCGGCTCGATTTGCGACCACCATTAAAACTATCGACCACTAACTAGTTCATACATATCTACCTACCTACCTTAGTAAAGCTACCTTACCTTATCCCTCATCACTCTCTAGACCTTGCCAAAAACCCTCCGTATTTGCCGTCTTGGCCACCTCCTTAACCCTTTCTCTACCGGACACAATATTCTTCCTCCATACCGCATAAATATCTTCCCTCATCTTCTGGCAAGGATGCCAGGCACAGCAAGGACGATGGAGCCGAAGCGCAAGGTGACTCCTCCGTCACCTTCTTACATGACAGACGAACAGTTTGGTATGACACACGGAATTGAGTATGGCGATCAAAGTCCTTGGCTAATTTCTCCCTCTGCTGAATAGCCTCCTACCTCGCAGGTCTTCGGTCAAACCGAGTCGCCAGGCCTGGAGGTGCAAGACCTCAACCAGCCGGTGCTCGTCCAGTTCCTAGCCGCTCGAGTTTGCACCGCCATAGTACGGGCCGATTCACGCCTGATCTTGCTTCTCCTGCCGAGAGCGCACCACCTATTCTCGACCGTAAGGACTCGAAAAGTCCTAGCGTTGCTGGTGGCAGTCTTGCCTCTAGATACTCTACCATCAGCAGAAAAAGCCCAGATTACTATCCAACTTCAGCTACAAACCCTTTGAGGCCATCCGACGTTGTCCCCTCAGCCACATACATGGAACGAGGTCAAAGATGGATGGAGAAGGAAGAGGCAAGCTCATTGCGCGACGCAATGGAGGAGATGGACATAAGGAAGAGTACAAAATCGCCTGTTCAGGAGACACCTGAGGATGATACTCGTCTATACAATGCTGCTCTCGATGAAGCTGCTGAGCTTGTCTGGCAACATCAGCATGGCACGCCTTCTCCCCGTCCCGAAGGGCCCTACCGCTATAAGCCACATCTCAGAAAGAACAGCTACGCCCATGCTCGTACTGCTAGTGTCGGTGGTACGCGATCATGCTCAGGCAGTTCTTCGGATGGTGAAGGCGTCGAACGTGAAAGCCGACCTGAGTTAGAGCAGAGGCAGCCAAGCATACAGCCAGATCACAAAAACAAGACATACGGCAGTATTAGTCGTTCAGGCAAGGCTCCAGAGCAGAGACGCCAGGGAAGTCTGAAAAGAAACATTAGCGGGGAAGTAGGGCGTCCCTTTTCTGGAGATCAGATATGGGAAGAGCCTGAAGTCTCAACTTCTGATAACATGAGCTTTTCTGGTCGTGCATCACCCGAGAAGCTTGGCAACCGAGCTCAGGCGGCCACAAACCGAGTCCGCTTCGAACCACCCCGGGAAGAAGAAGAAAAGACCAAGCCCCTTGAGCGAGTGGAAATACACCGCAATCCTCCCACACGCTCTCGCAATCCTCTCTATACAAGAAACCTCTCCAACGACGGCTCCGTCTCTGTCGATGACAAGGTAGAGAGAAAGAACGGCATGGAAGTTCGGAGTCAAGACATTCGCGCGGCCACGAGCATGCGCTTGAAAGATCGCAGCCCAAACCTCCCGGAACCCACAGCCGTCAGTGACAGTCCGGGACGGCCCATTGTAAGCTTCGACGCCAACTGGAAAGCCCCGGACGAGTCCACTGATACCACCCCAGACCGGTCGCTTCCGGCAACCCCCAACAGATCCTCCTCCTCCTTCGCCCAGCCGGAGAAACCCATGGCGGTACCTAGTATCGTTGTGGCGGAGGAAAGTTCGCTGATGCCCAGGGCGCCAACGGGAACGAAAATCCCGTCGATCTGCATAGACGAGACATCCCATGGCCCTAGAGGCTCCGTACCTTCGATCAACGTCCCCGATATTGCTATTAATGAGGTTCCGGGTAAGGGAGGCAGCATTCCTGCAATCATAACCCCTGACGACAAAAGGAATCCAACCTCCCGTCCGCTACCTGATCCCAATGCCAGGGGGACATCCCGTTCTGCTCAAAAGCCTCGTGGCCATTGGTCTCCAGCCCCTGGCAGCAATAGGCGAGCTGTCACGATTTGCCATGAATGTGGCATGCCCATTGAAGGGCGTTTTGTGGCCCTAGCGGGAAGCAATGAACGATTCCATCCGCAGTGTTTCAGCTGCTATACTTGTGGTACTAACCTACAGGCGATGGAAATTAGCCATGAGCCTGATCATCTTCGTCAGGAGCGGCTTGATCGCATCAGACGTCGCGCGGCTGGCGAGATACTCGAAGAGGAGCCGGGCAAAACGATGGCCGAAGACGGAGATGAGCGTCTGCGATTCTTTTGTCACCTCGATTGGCATGAGCTGTTTGCGCCGCGTTGCAAGCACTGCCAGACCCCTATTCTCGGTGAACACATAGTAGCTCTTGGAGCTCACTGGCACTATGGACACTTTTTCTGTGCCGAATGTGGTGACCCATTCGAACACGGCATGACACATATTGAGAAGGATGGTTATGCGTGGTGTATCAACTGCCAGACGAAGCGCACCGAACGACGAGCTCCGAAGTGCAGGAAATGCCGTACAGCTGTCATCGGACAGTATATACAAGCGCTGGGTGGAGAGTGGCATGAGCATTGCTTCCGATGCGCCGAGTGTCAGGGTGGTTTCGACGATGGCCAAATCTTCACTAAGCATGTGCCCGAAGGCACTATCGTGCTCTGTACTGGATGCCGAGCTATGGAACTCAAAGCGTAATGATGATGATGTGTGTGATTTCGGCGTGCGTGTTTTGATTTTTGCATGCGTTTCTTTCGTGGTTGGTCTGTTTCCCTTCAGGTTTGCCCGTCAGCATATGATTTGTTTTGTGCTTCTGATTTGGTCTTCATGAGTATTTCCAGGGGAACGGCGCACTCAGCGCTCGACTTGATCATGCAGATTGGCTCATTGGAACATCTTAGCCATAAGGCAGGATAGACACGGCGCGAACTGTGAGTCCGTGATTTCAACTTTAAATGGCCAACACAAACTTTGGTTCCGTCTACTTCATACATATCAAGTTATCGCCCCCATGTCTATGTGATCCTGACACATTGTTATTTGATAAACGTTAACTTAAAGAGCAAGATTGGGCGGGCTTATTCTCTATGAGGCCAACCCACACAGCTCGTTTGTACCACTGCTGCGAAAGAGATGAGAAAAGCACACAGTTTACCACACGAGTCACAACGGGAAAAGAGGGACATTGTGTTGATTGGGTAGTGTTTTGTCTGTCGTAAATCATTTGTCGACTTATTGTTTCAGTCTTCCTCTCGTCTGATGTACGCAAAGCCAAAGGTACAACCAGGTTCAATCGAAATCCAGTTCAAGAATATCATTCTTGTGTGTTCACCTCTTTTGAGATCTTCGACCTGGTCATTGTTCCTCGGAGTTCCCCCTCTCTATTACTGTGCAGATCCGCCAACCTGCTCCTGGTGGACCTCGAGGGTATCGCCATCCTGCATCTCGAGCTATGGGATGTAACTTGTCAGCATGTGTGATCCCTCCGGAGACTTTTCAATAGGGCACAATTTGAAGCTGGATATCAAACATCCGTGCCTACTGTAGGAAAGCGAAAACGTACCGCATCGGGTGTATCGGTGGGTTGGACTCGCGTGCCGTCGAAAAGAAATCGCACGGAGCTGGTCGCCTTTCCCTGGCGCTCGCAAAAGGCGCCCATAAGCTTCTCCAGCTTTGTAGTACGCTTGATCTTGAAGAAGACCTCGTTGTTGTTGTCGGTGACCTTGATATTGAGGTGCTCGGAGTTGGCGGGTGCCTGCTCACCAGGAGTCCCGTTTTCGTTCTCGTTGGACATTTTGAATTGGTCTGGATGGAAGCTATGCACTTAATACGAAACAGGGTCAGCGCGTGGCTCGAGGTGAAGTGCAGGAGTGAAAGCGTGGCGAGATATCGCAATAATCATAGTGTTACCTTAGCACGATGGTCGTTGATGGCAAGTTTGGCAAGTGGGGGTGATGATCGCGTTATGCGCGTTTGGCCAGCAAGAGATACGGAGTAGAGCGGCGAGCTACAAGCGGCGGCGAGAATGTGTGTGCGAGGGGAAAAGGTTTGAACAGATCTGTTGTTGGTGGGAGCCCGAGGTATAAAAGACTATGGTGGGTGATGAGCCTACTAAGATAGACGGATTAGAATGGAGGCAATCAGACTTAAACTTACCTGCTACCTAAGGTCAGTTGCCTCTGGCGCTTCGTTTAGCAGCACTCAGTTGAATGTCAAGCGGGCGAAAGAGCCGGGCGAACTCCAACCGTGTAAGTGGGGCCGAGAAATGAGCTACTGTTTTTGATTGGTTATCTGCAGTTTGATCGAATCCCTTCTGCTCATCTTACCCTATACCCAAGGTGCTGTGTTAATTAGTTATTAAAAACTTAATAATATATCTATTTAATTATTAAAGATCTATATAAACTATTAAGCTAGATAATTACAGTAGTGACTACATATAGTATTAAGAAATATACTTATTATATATATATATATAAATATAAAGACAGGTAAGGTAGCTAAAAGCATGACATCAGTCCTGTCCAGCTGATTTCCATTTACGTCTCTCCTTCCTCTACTATAGCACAATGTCTATTTATCATCATTACACACAAGGCAAGGCATCTGCGTAAACGTTTATATTATCGCAGTATATATGCCTGTTTAACATCTACTTGGTCATATTTTAATACGCAACACCACCACACTGCAAGCTATTATACACGACCATGGTTTGTCTCGCAATACACGACAGAGTAAAACGCTCGGGAGAAGCTAATGGATAACCATAGGCCCCGAAAGATGATGTTGAGGCTAAGCCTGCTTGTCACCCACGTGCAGTAAGTTCCAAAGCCAATGATATTAGAGTGACCATTGTGATCTGACACATGTGCAGTGTGCAATTCAAAGTATTCTCCCTGAGACACAAGAATACAAGATGGAGACGAAATACTGACCCAAATACAACAAGACTGTCTTACCAGCAATGGCTACAACGAGGCCAAGTGCCAAACGGCAATCAAGCGACTTTACGAATGCTGTGAAGCATTTTACGAACGCTACGGCGAAGATGCGTCTACTGTGAGCTGCCCGAAGCCTAATCTTCTCAAGCTCAAGATGAAGCAACTCCGGGAGGAAGCTAAATGATATGTAACGCTCGTCTTTGGGGTGTCCGCCGGTTTGGGAAACGCTGGCAACTTGAATGATGAGCGCCGAATCTCTTCTAGGCGATCGTTGAGCACGCAAGAGGCCTCAAGGACCTGAACAAGCATTGAAGGCCTGTTCCGAGACTCTAATACGAATGCCGATGACATTATGATAGAGAAGAAGAAAAGAAAATTAAATTTGCTGTTTGGTGGAGACGTACTTGAACCAGAACAGTGCTGAGTGCGACTAATACTCTGAACTACACTGTACAATACGCGCGCGTGCAATCGCGGCTGTTTTCTTTTTAGCGCAAAAGTCCAAGCTTGCTCAAAAGGCAGGTTTAGACTATTACAGAGTACACGGGCATGATTTCACTATCCAATAAGAAGCACTAACGAAAGGAAAGTACGTACCGCCTAGAGCTCCAAACCTGCGCGCCAGTGCAGTAGCAACCAAAACAATTCTTTGATTCTTCTACCTCTGAGTACCTGTATCAAACCTACCTACACAAGCATCTTCGGCAAACTTCACTAGCATAATCCTTCCCTAACACTCACAAAAGCGATAGGTATCCGTCCCCATCTTGGGTATGCCTATGGTTTTAATCGATCTTTACGTTTGACCCGCTGGCCGAAACCTGCCGAAAAGGGTTGTTTGCTTCGCGCTGTGTACCAAACCATACACTCGACTTGACAATCCCCAAGACAAGACCAACCTGAGTCACTGAAATGGCACCTGTCGAGGCAGAGAAATTCGTATCTTATGAAGCCGGGCCCGAGGTCGAAGAGTTCGCCAACGCGCTCGACGACTGTCTCTCCCCTCCTCTCTCGAACGAAGAACGACGAGAACGAATACTAGACCTACCTAGAAAATACCACGAGAATGCCCTTCGACGCCTAGCACAGGTTCGACCGCGTATGATGCGCAACGGTCAAGACGATGTCGATATGGATGCAGACGATGATGTTGCTAATAGCAACCCTGCCTCAGCAGAGCTTGTCAAACGTCTCGAGAGGGAAGCGCAGACATGGGATCTATTGCGCAGGCTTCTTCCACTGAGATATGCTAATTCTGATGATGGGCAGAGCGCTTCCAGAGCCGACCAGAGCTCCGTGGATTCAGGAGACTTGTTTAAGAGTTTCCTTGCTAGTGATTCATCGGCGCGCGAACGACAAGCAGTCATACAATGGCTCCAGAGCAATGCTTCTTCGGGACCGGATATCAACGAGCTTGCGCATGAACTCCAGCAAAATGCCGACCGTGGAGATATCATCGCTCACGGCTGGCTTCACACTCGCTCTTCAATCAAGCTTCGGAAGAGCGTAACAGCCTGGCCCCATCTACTGGATCGCCAGTCACCAGCTATTGCGACCTCATTTCACACCTCAGATGGCTCACCCCTGGTGACACAGCTGGACCCAGACGCTGCGACTCGCCAGGGACGAAAACTTGAACCGCAAGATGAGTATTTCGAGCGTGCCATTTGGTTGGGTTGCTGGGAACATCTTCGCCGAGGATCAAGCTTGGACGCTATCCGTGAATGGTGCCAAGAACGAACCGAAATGTGGCGGGCCATCTCGACCTCTGCGATACTTCTTTCAGCCAGCGACAGCCAGGAAGTGACCGATACTAAACCAGCATCACTCGCTCTGTGGCGACGAATGTGCTTCAGCTTGTCTCGATCTGGTGGCTGTGATGACTATGAGCGTGCGGTATATGGTGTCCTATCAGGAGACATCCCGAGCGTCGAGAAAGTTGCCCTGAACTGGGATGATTTTCTTTTCGCGAACTACAATGCATTGCTACGCACACAGCTTGACAACTACATACTTGGACAATGCCCAGTCGACGTTGCTTCAAACCTCAAACAATCCTTTCCTTCATTTGACGCTATTCAGTTTCACGGGGAGCCAAGTACAGTTGACATGCGTCTAACCCGAGCTCTTGAAGCCAACCCCCAGATCAAAGACGAAGCGAACGAACCCAATAAGGCGTTGCAGGCATCATTAATTTCCAAGGAAATTGGTCAATATCTTTATCAGCAGGGCTTGATCATTTCTTCTGACGCAAATCACAACGAGTCAGCACTGTACAGATCAAAGCCTAGTAAGCTTGAGGTAAACAAGGAGAGGTTCTTTCAGTCTACGCAGCACTATGGTCTGCGGATCGTTGCACATATCTACGTCCTCATCAACCTCTTGGATAAGCTGAACTCGAAGGACGATTCTCTAAGCCCTGCCTTTTCTCCTCCTGAAATGAGACGATCCCAACAGAACCTCATTGCCGGGTACGCGAATTATCTTCGCCTTGCCGAGTTTCATGAATTAATACCTCTTTACTGTTCGATTTTGGAACCCCCTCGGTCATATGAGGTGCTTAGCTACAACCTCATTCCCGAAAATGAGGCGAGCCGACGTTTACTGCAGTTGAGACTTATCAGGAAAGCTGGCATCGACGTGCTGGAGTTTGTTAAGACTCAGGCATGGCTTTTGTTCGATGATTTGGGTCCTGCGCAGCATGGATGTCCTGCCAAGGAAGGATTTAGCATCATTGAGCCTGGCCCACCTACTTCACGCAGTGGTCGCCCTGTGAGGCCCGATTTCTTTGGCGATGATGAAAGATTCGTTGATCAGGCACATGAGAACCTCATCCGGTCACTAGAGTGGCTGGTACTAGTGCAAGAAACATGGCCCAACGTGTTGTCTATGGGGACCAAGATCTACAAATTCTTTTTGCGTGAGTTATTTTGCTATAAGCAATGTTCGAAAACTGACAACGCCGTAGGCAATATGCACCTTAGCGCTGCTCGTCAGCTGATGAAGCGAGTTCCATTCTCAGATGTCCTTCATGCAGCTACGGAAGAAAATGCCGACGAGATGGAGTTATACGAAGACATCCCCGAGTTTTGGGCGAGGCAACTTGATCGGAGAGGTATTCGGGACGTGACACCACAACAAGCACTTTCAGATGCCCGAAATTTCCGTGAACTGGAGAATCTAGTGCGAGCCCTGGATAGCTTGGAGACGGTCGCGTCGCTAGCCGAGCTTACAAATGAGTACGCTGACCGAAATAGAAAACGCTGGAGCATGATATTAACGAGAGACAGGGACCAAAAGAAAAACCGGGAGTTCTGGAATGCTATTGGTGACGAAGTCAAGAACACAAAAGAAAACATGCAGCCCCTTCTCAAGAACTGGCTCCTGGTGGGCATTGAGGGTAAGTGAGCCCCTATCATCAGGCCATATCTCAGTGCTGACACACAAATTAGAAGGTGATCAAGAACTACGAGATCTCCGTCAAGCCTATCTCCCCGAAACAGTTCTAGCATATGTTGGCACGCTGCACTTTGCTGGAACTGGCTTGTCTCGAGACAACCTCTTGGAGTGTATGGAGCTTGCTTCCATCATTGCAGAGCGCGATTCGGATCTGTCGGTTGCATTCCTAGAAGCTGGAAGGATGAAGGAGCTGGTGGAGGTCTTTGCTGCCAGCAGCAAGGCATTGGCCATCAGCACTGGTGAAAAGAGAACGGCGAGCACTGGCAGCAAGAAGCTGCGAGAGATGGGTTGGTCCCGGGATCTGTGGTCTGTCAGACCATAAAAGGTTTCCTTCCATTTTGTCATCCCTCGCATCTGTCGACTGATTGTCGAGTTGTTATTTCGTTACCTGAGCGTCGACTCCAGCAAGTACGCAAGGATCTGTCATTCTCGGTTGGTGAAGACGGGGCATGAATTGTAAAATATTAGGGGTGTTGGTCGGAATCACTACATAATAGGAATTGAGTCAATGAAGAAACGTTCTGGATCTCAATAAGTTAATCGAGGTAATGAGAGCAGGAAAGTCAGATGATTAGACGACGTATTTGGCTTGCAATATTCCACTTTCTTTACTCCGTACCTAGTGTTGAAACGTTGGGGGGGGGCTAGGCCTATGACACAATCTGTCAGAAGCTCCCCCACTTTAGACCTCCATCTTCCAAATCCAACTCAGCGTGAATAAAAGTTTACATATCTTACCTAGGTACCTACTTAAGGCAACTCCATCGCATCTACTCCTAACTGCGGTACTTCCCAATAGCAAAGAGCGCAGCGGAGTGATAACTGCAATGGTAAGCTTCGCAGCTGATATGCAGGGCGCGACTCCTCCTGTTCTCCCCCCCAAGCCTGGCAGCCATGAAACAAGTCGCATTGCGACGCCGACCTCATCAGGCGTACCTCCACCATCCGAAGGCCGCATACCTTCCAACACTGTAACTAACGCACCAGCATCAATTCCCGACCCAGGCGAGCAATGGCTCCCTCAGATTCTACAGGACAAGTCGTATGTGATACCCCGACCGCAAGAGTGCACTTTCTAAATTCTGTGGCAAGAAAACAAGACCTGGCTGAGCTGCTTGGTAACCCAACTCTCCTCAACGCATTAACGCACTCTTCTGAATCCATCCACCCTTCCCTGCTTGTATCGCATCAAGCTCTATCCGCCGCCCTCAACGAAAACATCGACCTAGCTGGCCAACTCACGGACATGGAAGCTCGGCTATCCCATCAGCGCGCATCGACACAGGCACAGCTTCTCTCAACACACACACTCGAGCGACAATGGCGCCAGAAACAGTCTGACATGGATCACGCGCTGGCGCCCTTCTCACCAGCAGCGTTATACCAGCAGTTGGGACAGGGCGTCCAGGAGCAGGCATCGGTGTGCGAGGCTATGGAGGAGAGTTTCCTCGACGGAGAGGGAGAAGGAGTATCGGCAACGGAGAGGGAGGTTACTGATTGGGTGCGTAAATATAGAGAGGCTAAAGTCCAGTACTATTTGAGGCAAGAGAGGAAAGAGAGATGGGACGAGGGACGTGTCGGTGGATGGAGATAAAGAGTTCTAGGTGTTTACATGGCGTGGGCGTTTGATGCATGACACTGTGTTTTTGAAATTTCAGGTATCCGGTCTTAATTGGTGTAGATCACCAGCACTTACGAATCACGACGAGAATAATACGCTGGACATTTGCTTCAGCCCTGTTGACGATTACCCCAGATTCGTCCCCTTTGAGGTTAGACATCGATTTTGTAACACGACAAACTGTTACAGCGATATAGCTGGGACGGATATGCTGTTGAATGTTGCTCACTATCACCAACGCTCGTTTATCCAACATGGGTATCTATGTTACCGACTTTGAAAGCCGCACAAACTTGCTAATCCTCTTCAATGGCGCCATGAGTAAATAAAAAAGACAAAGCTCCCGTCTCCCTGTCATAGTGCGCTGAAAGGACTCTTCTTCATATCTGGGCTACGTGGGCTCATGGGCAGAGCAAACAGATCGTCGTCATCATCTCGCCGTAGAGGTCTGACCGGGGCCGAGGCAGCTGTTGTCACGTCGCCATGTAGTGCAGCATTCAGCGATATGGGGCCTGTAGATGCGTTGCTGGCCATGGCCTCATGGGACGACACAGCGATATCACGTCCTCTGGGTTGAAACGGATGAGATTGGCTAATGGGACTCATAAAGGTGTTCGCTTTTGAGAGAGGTCAGCTTGTACACAGGGACTGGGAGCGATGGATCTCAAATACCTGTCGTGCTTGGTGTTAGATCAGCAGGTGATGTGGCCAGCTTGAGACCTTTGAGCTTGTCCCCCAAGCGGCCCGTAGGTGAACGAGTGGCTACAGGAAGAGGGATGGAATCACTGGGAAGTTGCGGCGTGTTGATAAAAGTGTCGAGAATCCATTGCCTCTCAGCGAGGGCCATCTCAACACCCACCCCCTCAGCATTATTGCGAAGCTCGTCGGCTACCTCCCGATCTATGGCTGCCAGGCGTTGGCGAGCCCATAGTGTGTGCAGGACTCCCCGATTGCCTGGATCAGCGGCAAGGCCTGGTGGGAAGATGGCCGGAAGTGGTTTGAGGGTCAGGCTGGGTGAGCCAGGCGGCGTGATAGTGATGGTCGGGGGGACCGTGGCATCAGCGGGGAGCAGGAAGAATACACGGCGACGCCGTTGGCGAGATGAAGACGCAGGAGCAGTGCCTGCACCAGAGTCTGGCTCAAGATCAGCAGCAGGGAGGTTAGTAGATTTCCCGGGCCACGACACTTGCCAACATGTTCTGTTGATGCTGTCCACGGGAGCAGAAGCCGGAGCCGGCTCCGTTGTGGAGATGCGATCGGCAGCCGGAGCGGATTGTTCACCGGGGGTGTCGGCAGGAGAATTGGCAGATGCAGCGGGGCCCGGAACGGCATCGGGATACCACTCCACCATCAGAACCTTTGTACCAGCATCGCTGAACTCGAAGCGGGCTAGGTGCTGAGCCTCCACAGAAGGGACGATAGGGGCTTCACCGACAACGGCAGATGCAGATGGGGTCCCAGGCCGAGAAGAGCCCGAAAACGGGTCAGTCGTCATGGCTTAGGGCTACTTGCTCGTTCTGGGGGAAGCGAGAAGGTAACAAAGAAGAAAATGATATCAGGCTTCTGGATGAACGCTGCTGAACAGCGGCTCTAAATTCGAGCGGAAGAGTATGGAGATGGAGATGGAGACGAAGATGGAAACGTGGATTGGGATGGGGATTGAGAAGGCGGAGACGGGGTCGATATCTGGGCACTTTTGATACTAGCCCGATGGCTTTGTTTCGACTTCGTTCTAGGTAGGCTGTCGGCTCGCTGTGTGCGCTGCCTCTCTCTCTCTCTCTCTCTCTCTCTATGCAACGGCTGGGTTATTGCTGTCTTCTCGGCGACTTGAGCCTTTGCGTTTTTTCAGGGTCCCGCTCCTTCTCGGACCGAGACGAGGTTATTTCGGTGAATAATATATTGGTTTAGTGAGGTACGGGAAGGAGCACCGGACACATTCCGCAATGCAGCCGGAACAGTGTCGGGTGCTAGGCAATAAGGTATGTCAAAATGAGTTGACTCTAAACGTCTCTGATGAGGGTAGGCGACGAGTCAGAGGGGAGGAGACGGCGGTGGCGGTAGGTAGTGGCGGGGGAGTTGCCAGTTTCAGGACATTGACAGAAGACGGAACATTAGATTAGTTAGGTTGGGTTGAACACGAGATGAGATGGAACATGACATGACATGACATGGTTGTCAGCCTTTATTTTTTGAGTGTTTATTGCATTATTAGAGGGGACAAGTTTGAGGGGAAAGAAGTGGACTGAACGCGGGATGGGACGGAATGGACTTGGGGAAATGCTGTGGACGCGTCTGCCTACCTCCATTCAACATTTGGGTAGGTAAGGTTAGTAGGTTAAGGTAGGTAATGATAGTCGTATCTACAAGTATGTAGTATGCCCATAGTATGTACAATACTGTAATGGCGGCGGATTGCACGAAAAGGGAAGCTGTTTCAGTGACAAGAATAGACGATCCAATCATTTCAGTGAAGTGCTCGATAAGACCTGTTGATTGGAAATGGAAGCAAGATAGAACACACAGAGAAGCGTATCAATCCCTTGGGTACATACTTACCTTAGTACCCAAGGTAGGCACCGCACCTTAAACTCATCAGTAAGCTTACCAGTTAGGGTGCTAGCCAAGGAAGCAGAGAGTTCCTTCCATCCATCACCTTGACCCTGGGAGTGGTCTCTGGCGTCTCAGAGCTGGGGGAGCAAAAGACAAAAAAAAAACATAAAATACGTATGCCTTTTACCCAGCCTTATCCCAAGGTCAGTCTTGTGTCTTCGACTCCCAACTCAGGATACCGTCTACAACAGGCTATCGAGTGATCTAGTCTGGAGTTTACAAGTAGTATGTTAATGTGTATGCACTGACTGAGGCAGTGCTGACTCCCCAGGCCTGTTCCCTTGTCTAGGTAGGCCTCCCTGGTCGAATTTTGACTTAGTCCCTTTAGGTTAGTAGGTTCGTAGTACTAAGGTTGCTAGGCTGGGCTGGACTTTATCGGTATATCGGGACGAAAGCCATTCCCCTATGGCCGATTGCGTGACAGAATTGAGACCAGAGTGATTAGAGTCATGAATATGTCGTCAACAATAACAGCATCTACTGAACAGCCTTAGAATCAAGCTTCATTGACATTTGCTGCTGATCCCTAGCAGATATTCTAAGTAAGTGCCTTTGTAAATGATACAGGTGATCTCAAGCTGGTACCCCTTGGGTCTAAGTTATTTGTGCACATTGCCAGATTGCGTGCCTTGCATTGAAATATTTATCTTTTTTTTTTCTCCATCTGAAACAGAATCCCGGGTCAACCCAAAGTTATATTGCAAGAGAAGCTTACTGAGATGCCAGTCGAGTAGAGGAAACGTTGCAGGATTCTCATACCAATCCGGCGTTGTCCCAAAAACAAGGCTCTTCTCCCATATCGACGTCCGTATCTATTTCACGAACTGCCGTAGGCTCTAGCTATAGAACTTACTCCGAGTCATTTTACTACAGCATATGTAGGTACTGATCCCCTGTGCTCAGAGCAGTGTCTTGCTCTTCTACAAACTCACTAGCCAACCAGACCCAAGTTGATTCTCAAGATCGGCGTCAACGAGACACTGAATATCGACCTTGTAACGGATGGGGCCAGTCCTTGTGCCCAGAACCACCGCAGTAAGGCCGCGACTAATAGGGATACCCCCCCCTCAAACCCAGCATACCTGGGTTTGTGTGTCTCGGGTCCGTTCAGCTGGTCCTCGCATCCACAACCGTATTCAGACAACTACAATTATCTAACTCTCCATTACTCGTGAGATTGCTGAGATTCAAATCTAGGATTTTGACGTCTTGTAAGTGATGTCAACCGTCCTGATAACATCACTGATAATAAGATGTGTATGATAGTAAATGCCGTTCGTAGGATTTGCATTGGCACTTAACAGCTCACTCACGACTATAGCCCAATGGCTTTCAACTGACTTGACCAGAAGTCTCTCGTGACGTGGAGAAATGAATCACATATCCCCTGAACCAGGTTGCTCGAGACACGCATATACACTACATTGCAACATTGTGAAGATATTCTATTTCAAGTCGGATAAGTACAGTTTTTTCATCATTCTAAAGGCTTGTATATGGACAATGAATGCTGCTAAGAGAACATCGAGCCACCTGTATCAAGCGAACCCCTCGGACCACGCGATTCGCACGGCAAAAGCACTCGCCCGTTCGGTCTCGAGCTCTTCCATAGAACTCACTTCACTTGGCCTTTTGTAAACTACCGTACCAAGTACATATGCAGCTCTCGGCCGGAGAGAGGGTCCTCGGCTTGACTCTGTTACAGATGGATCCACGCAATTCCGGGGGCAGATATAGGTTTATTATGGTCCAAGCTTTTCGGTGCCATTGCTCATTCTGCCATCTGGGGATCAAGTGAGGTGAGGTGAGGTAATTATAGTCCACTGGTGGTGTTCTCCACGAAATCGTAAAATCATTCTAGGTCTCGTGAGTCGACATTTATGGGCCTGGCATATTCGATACGCTATCTCCTCTCTTGGTGTATCTCACACAAAGTTGTCAATGACAAGCCAGCAGAAGGCTGTTTCGGGTACGTTGGCAAAATATGAAGTTTGCATGAGCTTTGAAGATAACTCAGCATCATACTAGGGAAAACCAATAAAGAAGACTTCGATACCAGGTTCGAGATGTAGATATATTAGCTAAATTGGCCCATCATTGTCGTCATCACTGTATTCAAGATAGTTATATGGTATTGTATCTTCCTATCCAGTATAAATAGAAGACCAGGAGGGATAAAAAACAGCAGGGTAAACCCATTCCGAAAAAGTCTGCTGAAGCCTGCAAGACCCAGTATATTTTGGCCGGTTAAATGCAATCCCTGAAGAATAGACCGAGATATCAACGGGTGGCGGATCCGGTGAAGACCCGGAGAAAAGCCAGTTTTAAGGAACCTACCTTAGTTAGTATCGAGATACTGGTAAGCCAAAGGCCAAGACGAACCTAGGACCAAACGAGAACGCTCCAGCCCAAGCCTCAAAAAGAAAAAAAAAAAAAAAAGAGAAAAAGAGAGAGATCCATAGTAGGAAGAGAAAACTCTTACCAGGGGTTATTTTCTAAGCTGCCATCTCTGCTCCCCAACGGATCTGTTGGGCCAAGTACCGTATCAATAAGGTAAGGTATTTCCCGTGCGGCTGGTCATTTAATGGGATCGCGAGTAGCTTGTTAGCTAAAACTCAAAAACAACCAAAACAGGCGCTGTAACGTTGTTTTGATAGAGCTTCGGGAACAATCAACGGGAAAGCCATACGCAACGCATCTGAACCGCAATGAACCACACAGGAGGCACATGTCCCAGAAGCTGCATGGCATGGAACGGATGGAAAGATAGAGTAGGGCCGGCCAATTGGGCCGAGTCGGGAATTTCATTGACGATCATGGGGGATCAGTCAAGCAATCTCACACTGTGCGTCACTCGCAAAAGTGAGAGCAGACACTCGTAGAAGCACCTCATGCGTACCGTGCAATAACTGTACACTACTATGAACCGGCGTTTTTCTGGAGCGTTGCAGTGGAGGGCAGATGCATCACCAACGTCAGCTGGTCACTAAAAGTACCTGAGGGCCACAGGCAATTCAGGGCCAGAGGAATGCTAATGCTAATGGAAACTGCTGTTGTTTAGGTTGTGGGGAGATTTGCGAAAGGCAGTGGAGAGCTTTCCACGGGCTCCATCGTCATTCTGGGTCTGGGGCTTTTCTTCTCTGCTGCCCAGGTTTCCTCTCCAGGAAGTCCAAAGCACCGGGGAGATTCGCTCACGCGGTTTCTCCAGACTGGAGTACGGAGCACGCCCACGCGCTATGTTCAAAAAGGGGCCCCAATGTCCCCCCACAGCTGCCATGGAGTGTCCTCTCCACAGTTTGGCCGGCCAAACGCCGCTTGAGGCGAACCAAACGCTTGCTTTTTTGGCACCTTGGGCGGCCAGGAGGTGCGCTAGATGTCCCGATTGTCACTGTGATGTGCTGTATTGACCTAAACTGATAAGCCGTCAATCAAAAGAACACCCCACCATATTAAACGGTCGGTCCGTTCCCCCTCGCCAGTGAATTATTTTTTCAAGGTGATGGTCTGGTGCTGGCCAAATTCTTCATTTCGTTCTATAGGTGTCTTGAGGGGTCACAAAATCCTCAATTCAATTCTAGGTATTTACTGGTAGGTACTCCGTAGGCTCTTTCTTTTCATTTCAGCCCAGCCGATCGGTGCACTCACTTGGCGATATGGGTTGTACCTTATCAGTCAATCATCTACTCCGTAAACCTTCCCAAATCTACCTACCTTTAGCAGGAAGCCAGGTAATACCCAGGACGGGAAGTATCCAGATATCTGGGACGCTCACACCAAATCCAGCTTTTCTTTTTGCACAATCGTCTCGATATGGGAAAATAGTGCAGTCTCAATACGAACTACTAGGTCTCTGGCCTGAAAGCTTGATCTTCGTCCAGTACCTAGGCATCTATCATATGCAGTGGTTCACTCTTGCTATTCGTCCCCATTCAAGATAGCACCTTCTCTACTCCGTTCAGAGAGAATCATTATCGTCCCGTCTGTGGAGTCGCGACCAATTTAAATTCACACCTCTTACTGCGAAGGGGAAAAATAAAATGCTCCACCTCACACACCCTCCACGTCGTTCCATTCTCCCCCGGATTTGTACCGTACGTACCCAAGTATCCTTGTACCTGGAAGTCCCCTTCCTTCTATAGCCCAGCTAGTCATCACTACGCTCTCTCGCTCTTTCCTTGTACCATTACCCTTCCCACTTTCCCGTTTATCCCGCGCAGTTCGTTCTATCCAAACCAACACGAAACACCACAACCTCGCCTTTCACGATATCGATCGACTGCTTGCCCTTCGTCTTTCTTGTCATCAGCCTTTTCCTTTGACGTCTGGCCCTTCAACTCGGTTTACCTGTGCCTCCGGATCTCCGGTCCGTAGTTTTCGGCGTTCCCGATCCCTCCGTCTCGCCAAATCGCTCTTCCTCTCGCCATGTCGAGTATATTCTCATTCAGTGCGCAATAGAGACGTACGTCTGTAGCCGTTTAGGCCTGCTCAGCAAAGGCGACACCGTCTTTTCCAATACGTCGCGGCCCTTGCGCCCTCTCGTCGATAGCGTCGAACGTCGAACCCTTCGACACCCATCACCATGGCTCATCATCAAGCACGGACGATGGCTATGGATCCGCCACATATCACTGAATTTGCTTCTGAGCGTTACTTCGAAAAGCTAAGCCAGCTCAATGCACACCAACATCAGCACCAGCCTCCTCCGACTCGAGATAATCTAGATGCCTCCACGTCGCCCTCGAGATTTATTCTTCCTTTACGAGAAACGAAAACCGCCGATGTTGAACCTTCCAGGCCCCTTGACCAGAAACGTGATAAGTCAAGGTTTTTCGGCCTTCGCTCCAAGGTCTCGATCCTCCACTCTAAATCGAATGTCCCGTCTGGTCATGCGCCTCGAGTGTCTGTAGAAACGCCGCAAAAAAGGTAATGCTCCTTTGGCATAATAGTTATTCTTTCACTATACTGACCGGTGAGATTTAGTACTAGCTTCGATCAGCTCTTCCTAGGACTTCCCAACGAACTACAGATTCAAATCATTTCTGCCCTCCCACTGACCGACGTCCTGAACCTCCGACTTGCCTCCAAATCGTGGCATACTCTCGTCACTTTCAACGAAAATACTATCGCTCGATATCATCTCGAAAATCATATTCCTGTTTACGCCTCCCGCCTATACCCAATCACAGACCCGAGCGAGATTAACTTCCAACATTTATGCGGGATATGGCATCGATTACACGTCGCTGCCAAGCTAGCCTTTCTAATGTGTGAATGGATCACAAAAGATATCTTCCTTCGCCAGACTGAAGCCCAACGACTTGCATTTGCACCCCAGAACGAGCGCATGCGACGACGCCTAATACCTCTTCTATTTACCATATTCCACTTCTTCGAGACGTACCGAAAATTATACTTAAAGCGTATGGCTGAGAACGGAGGAAAAGGATTGAGACGGGAACCTTACACTTTGAACCCTATTGAAGCTGAAATCATGAGCATGTACGACGACCAAACCTTATTAAGAGTTCACGAAGTCTTTCCCCTTGTAATATCATCGTTCTGTCGGAGACTCCGACCACCGACATATGTTGGTAGAGTCGAGCGATCACTTCGTGGTTATATTCGGGAGAAACCGTCCGATGATATGCATGTTGCAATTTTGTGCATTGGTGGACTCCGACAAGTGGAAAGGCTATGGGAAATCAAGGGCTACAACAGCAGGCGTGGTGCTGTTGACACATGGTTCAATGCTCTCACTAAAGAGGCGCCACCTACTGAACAGTCAACATCGAAACCGAAACGAGGTCTTTTCGGACGCAAAAAATCCACTAGTGAAGCTCGATCGTCTGGTACTCTATTGAATAAGGTCCGGAGTTCTGGCTCAATAGATGGGAATATGGATTGGGAGACCAACCTTGTCTTCAATACGAGCTTATCTGCTGGGGCTCCAATGTCCCCCCTTACTTCGCAACAGGCTCAGGCATTACTCAGCGACCTTCCAGTACTGCAACAAATATGGCTCACAACAGCCGAAGCTTTGATCCTTCAGCGTCGGGTTGTCGAGCGTCCACAGGATATCAAACGCAACCAACAGGTCATGCTGGATTTGATTAGTGAAGATGGACTGGTAGAAGAGGACGAATGGTGGTACGGCCGCAGCATTCCCGATTCTGTGCGGCCTCCCGTCGGTGTCACTGATGACGATGCGGATTAAACGGCAACCGTTTCACTGTATCTTGGGCATTGTTCGTTTGTTATATTGCTGTTGGCGAGCGTGTTGAGAAGTTATACCATTACTTCTGCTTGTCGTTTTACCTGTGTACATGCATGTGTCAAAGAACGGGGTTTTGAGCATTTGAACGGCGTTTTTTATCGGTTGCGGAGAAAAGGGCTACTGCGTTGCCGAAGGTGGTACTGGATGGGAGCACTGGCTATACATATTGATACCGATTGTCTATACGACATTATATTTTCATTTATATTTCACCACTTTCTTCTCAGCCTGGAACCTAGGCCGAGTGTCTTGATGGCTCAAAGGGCTCTCATTTCCCTAAATAGTGAAATGGACTTCCACATCCCACTCTGTGCACTAGCCTCAGAGCGTCAGCTTGGCGTGGCTTTTTATTCATTCAAATCACAGTATATTTATTATCCGAGAAGCCTCTACTTTGATAGGAGGCGGCGAGTTCATTTCAAACATGCTAAAAAGAGAAAGAATACGATGATCTGAGCATCAGATCAACCACTAGCATGTGTAGCGCGGGTTTGTCTTTCCGCGTGATCTTGCCTATAAGCGATGTAAAATCCACGAACACAAACATAATGACTTAGCCAAACTCCGCGGAAACCCAGCCTTTCCTCTAATGATGCCTCCGGTACTTAAATACCCAATTTTCTTTGCTTAGTATTTACACAAGTGATACTCACCTTACGTTCGCCCTCTTGCGCGAACATTCCCGGTGTCTGTGTCATGATGTGTAGGACGTGTATACTTGAGCCGTCCTGCCGCTCAAGAGTAGAAGAGGTCCAATCACATGGAGTCAGTCGGCTTGGGCCAACTACTTCTGCTCCTTGATGCCTTTTCACATTCTCACACTCTCTTCATAGTGCAAATACTTGGCTACGTATATGAATTCCGGCTAGTGTATTGCCAAAGCATGGATCGCTTCTGGGTTGCTTCGCTGCGCCAGAGTCGCTGTGAAGGTGCGTTCGGACGTAGATCTACCTCTCAAAGCTGGGAACTCAAGACATGTTTGCTACAGGCGCTATTGCAGTTTCAGGAGGCTTGGAGGGTGTTTCGTCCATACTTCCGATTTGTTCTGGCTCTTCTAAGCGGTGATGCGACTCAAAATGGCCCGTATTTGCCAAGGGTGTTGTCCCAGTTGAACGACGGAGGCCCTGTTGCCTGTGTCGAGGAACCAGGGGTCGACTGTTAAGCCTTTGGGCTTGCTGATGCGAGCTTGAGCCTACTGTCAGGGGAAAACGACATGCAGCGGAATGTCCTAATTTATTCGACAAGTGTCGTTGCTGTCGTTGGTACAAATCCACCACGGTTACTTTTCGGGGAACATCCTCCGGAGCCACGAGGTCACGGCTATGTGACTGAGTACTCGTTGGAGAGGATAGACTCGTTGGATGAATCGACTGTTCGGATCTCAAATCTTGTGATGAATGATGCCGAGGCTGGTGCTTGCGTTGAACTTGGACGCCTTGATCTACTTGGGTCTGGCAAGACTCATCAAATTGCTTGAGTCCTCGATCCTGCTGGTACAGATGAGATGGACTTTGTGGCACTTGCTGGCTCAAACTATCCCCGATCCCAATTGCCTGTACTCCGGAGGCGGATGTGTCCGATATAGACGGTGCGTGTCTGGTACTGGCACTTGAGCGAAAAGCTAAAGCCTCTGCATCGGCTGATTGCGAACATCTTTCGCTGGTGCCAAGGTTTCTTGGACCTGTCTCCTGAGACACACGAAGACGCTTGACTTGTGTCTCATGAGGTGGATTGGTGATCAGGCCCGCGGTCCTGGGGGATGTTTGGCGAATATCGATCACTTGAGTATTGGTGCAGGGACCTTCTTGTGAATTCTTTCTCTTTTTTGAAGAAACTAGGTCAGCGTCCTGAGGGTGGCTGGGTGGCCCCTGAGGTCCCTGTATGATAACAGAACTGCCAGCGGCTGTTGGTGTTTTGTTCTCTTGCGTGCAGCCAAGCGAGCCAGTCGCGTCACCTTGCATTATGCTGGCCGCTTCTTCAGTAGGATAGGGCAACTCTGGGAGAGAGAATGTGGTTCGAAGAGCACTGCCTGTCTCGGTCACATAGCTTGAATCAGGCGTGGATATTAGGGAGTTATACATGCTTTCCCTCGTGGTTGGCTCATGAGATTGAGGCCTTGACTCCCTAGGATGAGAGTTCATTGGGTTAAATGAGGAAGAGGTAGGCCTGGCAGGCAGTAGCCTGGGCTTGTTCCTTGACCCTTTAGGCCGACCACGAGGCCTGCCCGTACTCTTCGTGCGTGTTGACGTTGTAACCGAAGAATTTGGCACGATCAGTGTAGATTCGCCAGTTGATTCAGCGGGTGTCATCGATGGACCTGAGGTGGTTCTTTGGTCTTCCCCTGAAGCATTTATCAATCTAGGGGTAATTGAGGGAGCGGCTGCTATAGAAATACGGCCCTTCGTAACACGGGGAGGTAGCTTACTCGAGATTTGGTTATTAGAAGCACACGGTAGAGGCATACATAAGCGTGTATTATTTGCAACAGACTCTGGTGGTGCATTCGAGAATTTGACAAGTGTCGAACGTTGTGTATGACCCGTTACACTGGGCCTCATAGCCAGGGGAACGAAGGCAGTACGCTTAGGACGTAAGTCTGCATCTACTATCCTTTTCGTACTCCCCTTTGGCCTACCTCGTGGTCTCCCTGTTGAGGGTTTCGATGGCCTTTTGGTAGTGCTGTTTTCAGCAAAGTTTGGAGGGAAGATTTCCGAAATCCACGAAATAAAGAGATCGCCCGAGCTTTTCTTCGAGCCGCTCTCAGAGGACTCCCCATGAGGAGATGGGGGCTGCCGAGTGGCACCGCCGAACTGAGTAAGGGCACTGCAAAGCGTTTCTACGACTGTACTTGGGTGCAGCTTTGGTAAGAGTTCAAGAAGTCGATATTGCTCTGCTCTGACCTCTTCCGGTGAAAGAATTGTTGTCAAGAGCTTCGTAATGGCAGGCTGTTCTCTGTTGGCCTCCTGTGTGGGATCTACTGGAGCGGCAATTTCGTTCGACGGGCTCATGTTGACGTCCTGTGCCGAGCTCGCATCTAAAAATGGAGCGTCCTCTTGTTCATGGTCGACCCCGGGTGTGACGTCTCCTTTAGTTGATTCTGCTGGAATTTCTGTTTCAATAATTTCCATGCTATCTGGTTCCGTCAATGGATTCTCTTCGAGCCTTGCGCTGGCTTGTGCAGATCCCGTCTCTGCTCGCCGCTCTTCATATGGCACAACAGTTCCGAGGGGTGGAGGCTGAGAAAGTGGCCCGTGAATGTCTGCAGTTACTGAAGGCGAATTTGATAGAGATTGTGAAATATTCCGAGCAGCCGCTGTGTGTGGTGGCCGCGGTCTCCTTGGATAGCGATACCCTTGAGCACTTGCAAGTTTGGCAGCAGCAGCAGTTCGTTCACTTGTAAGCTTGGCCGCAAGGTCGCGCTCCGTTATTTGGGGCTTCTGGATGTGCATATGCATAACACTGAAGTTACCTTGCTTCATGTTCGTCCTGCCCTTAAGCTTGCTTGGCACCGCGGTCCTGATGCGACCATCGCGATATGGGTTGAGACTAGCAGCCGGCACTTTGACCTCTTGCGGGGGGCCAGGGTTAAATGAAACAGTTATTCCATGATCTGGAGCATGGAATGGCTTCATCTGGAGATCAAATAAGGCATTGCCTACTTGCCAATCTGATCTGGTGGCTCTTTGTCCAGGTGTCGATGCTGTACTGGACGAGGCACCTGGGCTTGGACCTAGGGCATGAGTAGTATCGGGAGTGAGGATAGTCGAATCGGGCACAATGACGTGTCGAGGCGCTGTGCATTGCCTGTGAGCCTAGGTATACATTTACTACACTCGACAAATTGTTTCGAACAACACGTACGTCCTTCTGAGACCATGACGTCTGGATGAGGCTGGGCCATAATACGCTTTTGACCTCAGTAGCGATCTTACAGTGAACTTTTCGGGCAAAAGTCATCTGTGCAGGGCTCACACGACTTCGATGATGCGCAAGTCGATGGTTCTTATATCGAGGTTTGTGGTGCTGTTGCAGCTCGAATTCCGTGTTAGTGACTGGAATCACTTGGCTTGGTCTGCGCTGTGCTTGTACTGGTAGGCAGTCTACAGCCCCCGTGATCAAAGGTCGCTCAGTAGTGGGGACCCCATGAACATCAGATGCGGCGGCAGTTACACTCAATAATTCGTGAACACATTGTCTTCTTGTTTTGAACTAGGCCTAGGTACTCTTCAATGCGATATACGCTGGGTGCCGTTGACAATAACCTTCGGGTCTTATACATAAGTAATGCGATATATTAACTGACGATCGTGAATAATGTTAGTTCTAAGTAAAGTGGTTAGTTACTATTAAACCTATAGGG